TCCGGCCAAGGACTGTCAACTCGGCAGAATTCTGCCGCTACAACAACAACAACAACAAATCGCTGTTTACCAAAGAGTAACAGAGTATTCCAAATTAGTTGGCAAAGCAGAGCAGTAAAATATATGTAGCATTTACGCTAAAGCAATGAGAGAGTCTTTGAGGCTGCAACAAAAGTAAACCCATCGGGTAATAAATTCAATAATTACTGATAATCTACCGGTAACCAGTTAGCTAATTTTTACCTGGCTTGTAGGATAGATTATCTATTAATAAAACTTACGATCTTTACGTAGCTATCGAAAAGCCTTCCCTCCTCATAAAATCGAGTATTTCATGGATCATGCCCTGAAGTCCGCTGCAGTGTAACTGTAGGAATTTGATGAGTCGCTGTAAAATAGAAGTAACCCTGGAAGTGAGGGACTGATGTAGTTTGGCGATACCATTGTTTGTCGTTTCGTTACAATTCACCTTCAGAGCATATATTACCCTTCAGACAGTTAGTTTTTTATTAGTTTAACTATAGCGGTGTCTATAAACTAGTCTCATAGCCAAAAAATGGTCATTTGCGGCTTATATATTGAATACTATTGTTTCTCATGCCCCCAAACATTTCAACCAATCATGTTCAAAATTAGATCTCAACTCCTTGGAAAAAAACTTTCAAGGTATTGATCAGTTATTTATAATAATATTTAAGGCATCGCCACGCAAATGGGGACATAAATATTTGTTATATTTTTCAAAATTCGAAAAATACAAAATATTCTATACAAGAACTTGTTTTTGATAGGTCAGCTTGTATGGCAGCTTTATGCTATAGTTATCCAAGCAATTAGGAGATTCCACCATTGTCTTGGATAATGATTTACGCCGAATTCCGTGAAAATATCTCGTCAAATAAACAAGTGTTTTAAGCAAGGACTTGATTGTGATCTATCGGCTTGTATGACATGCTATAGTAGTCCGATATCGACAGTTCCGCCAAATGAGCAGCTTGTAGATAAAAGAACGTGCGCAAAATTTCAGATCGATATATCAAAAACTGACGAAGTAGTTCGAGTATATACACACAGACGGACATGGCTAAACCGACTCAACTCATCATGCTAATCATTTATATACATATGTATATTATATGTTTCCTCCTGGGTGTTACAAACTTCGTGAAAAACTAATATACCTTACATAAATTAAGCTCTATTTGTCCCATAAGGACTAACAAATCACAATAGTTCCTCAGACATTTTAACAATGCGAAAAACCAGAAAGAAAAAAAATACATATGTATGTAAATTGAAAGCACGAAAACACGATGAATTTTTTTATTAGAAATATAAACTACTAGATCTTAATAATTTTAAGTTAATTATAATAATTAACACGTTAATTAAATATTTTGTGAATAGGAATAACTCAGATAGTACGTAATTAATGTGGTGTAAGTTTTGCCGAACGGTGTGCAAGTAATGTAATTAACGATGATATTACTTAAGAAAATTGTACTCCGCTGATACGAGCGAAACATTTGGGTTTTAGTTGTTATTATTACTCTATATTAACTTGTTTTGGTATTATTTTTTTTTGCTCCGCTTACGTTTCTTATCAGTAGCATGGATACCTTTTTTACGGGTTATACAAACACGGCAAAACCAGTCTTCATTGTCTTTCGGCGCAATAGTTATTCCCACGCATATCCTGAATTGTATTTTTAAATCAGTATATTAATAAGTTGAACGCAAAGAACATACCAATGGTACCAAGCGTCGCAACCATCACAGCCAATCATGGGAGAGCCATCATCTACTTTACCACATGCCGGACATATCCAGACACGATTGCCCTCAGCGTCCTTAAAGTAAAGACTATTAAACTATTTAACGTTCATTTTATTTTATTAAACTTACAATGTACGACGATGGGCGGCTTGTTTCCGAAATTAAAGGTACAGGGCTATGACGAGCAGCAACGTCCAAAGAACGAGAAGTATTTATAATTGAATTCGATAATAGTCCACCATCCACTTTACTGCTAAGCGCTAAGGGTTCTTGAGATTTTAAGGGCTGCAACAACTGCTGCGGAAGTAGAACAGAACTTGCTGATAAGGTACTACCTGATGACCATGGGTTTGGTGGAGGCACACCGGAATGTACGCAAGGATTTTTCGGTGCACTTACAGAATTGACATTATTCTCATTTATAGAATCGAAGGTGGAGTTACCACTACTTCCACTCGCAGTTATTTGATTCGATGAAGATGATAGAGTTTCAGCTGCTTTGACACAGAAATTAAAAAAGCTAAAGAAAAAATATAAATATAAATGCCTTTTACCTAAGTTAAATTTTTGCTTTGGTGGTCGTGTTACTAGTGGTGAAATTCTAGCTAGTTCCGGTGATGGCTCTCGCTTTCTTTCAAACTCATTCAAAGTTTTGCTTTTACTAAAATAGTTCCTATGTGATGTATCTTCATCCGGTGTAGGCGATTGTGAGCTACCAAGCTTGAGCGTCAGTTTAGGTACAAACGATTGTGTTGAACTAGATAAATTTGTTGTAGCCGACAAATTTGTTGATGTGCTGTACATTGAAAACATAGTTGTTGGTTTTCCAACACCGCTTACTCCTAGAGTATCTGTGGCATGTTTCTTGTCAGCCTGGACCAAGTCTTCCGAAAATAGCTAAACAATATTTTTCATAACACGTCAGTTAAATATATATTTGTACAAAGTATGCATTAAAATACATTTTAATTATATTATAACTAGTGTAAAGTGTTAATAACTTTTGCCTTTTATTACTATCTATAAAGTACTAATTTCTATAAGGTTATTTTGTTTGATAAGTATATATTTTATATACATATATAATTATCCTAATACTTTATAGTGAATGGATTTATAACGAGCTTTAGGCGTTTTGCAAAGAAAATATTGCATAAGGTGATTTATGTAACATGATGGATGCTATGAGAGTGATCGGTCTGGCAGATATTATTTTCGTAAGCGGAGTCCTCAATGCAAAGAAGTAATTAAATAAAACCGATTTTGTAGGAAATGCACAATTTTTGCGTGTTCATAAGTTGCAACTACGATGCAGATTAAATAAAAATAATCATAATTAAACAGTGTATGTGCATCGGACAATATAAAGTAATATATATACTGTTTATATAAAAAAAATTTACTTTATCAATTATTTTAAACGAGCGGTATGGTATGTATTATAGTAGTATGAAAAGCAAGTTAACTAACGTCTTATGCTACTATTATAAATTAACAGAGAGTATTAAGACCGAATTAATATTATTGCGTTTTTATACCAATCACGTAGTAAAAATCAAATTTTTTTTGTGTAGTTCAAAAGCCAATTTGATATATCAGATTCATCTCTCACTATAGTCTACTCTTAGGCAGGGTTGCAAAAAATTCATTTAAAAAATATTTCAATTAAATCATAATTAAAATAATTTTTAAATTCATAATCCCAGATACAGGATTGACAAAACAACCCCATTTTGAATTACAAATACGGGATTAAGGGGTTGCATGGTTTCGTTGGGTAAAAAACGGCCTATTTTCAATTGTTTTTTTTTTATATAAAAAATTATTTATTGAATTCAAATTTTTTTGTCTTAAAGATAAACATTTAGAGAATAATTTCTGAAATTTTCAAAAAAAACTCCGCCATTGTAACGTCATTTCCGGTAACCCCTCGAAAAAAAGGTGCGTCCGCGTTGTAAGCATACCTCCTGACAAGATCATTTAAAGTACTAATAAATATATATGTGTTTTAGTTCATACCTTAAACTCGTACTTGAACGAAGGAAAAAAAACAAGTTCGAATTGGAATTTTGCCAGACTTTTTTCCAAAACAAAAATAAAATTTCGGTCAAATTTGCTCGACATTTCCTTTTTTAAAATAGTTGTAATTGAAAAAAAAATCCTTCGTCCAGGTATGAGTAAATTGCATCTCAAACACCTGTATAAAATTTCATTCGATCGGTTGAGTAGTTCGCGAGAAATCTTGACAACCAACCAGAAAAACGCGTTTAAAGTTTTCAGTGACACAATAGCTGACCTCGAGCGCGCAACTTTTCAAAGCTCTATCTCCAAAACTGTTACTGATATCAACTTGAGAATTTGGGACAATATTCTAGAGATATTATAGAATTAAATAAGACAATAAAAAAATATTTTTTTTATGAAGCCGCGAAACCCATGTAACCCCTTAAAAAAACTTTCTTTAAACTTATAAATTTTTTATTTCAAACATCTTGGATAAAAATTAGATTTGCAATTTCTAATCCTAACATTTAATCTTGGATTAAAAATTCCTTTTTCTATTTCTAATTCCGATGTTGTCATTCAAAATTGAAAATCCAATTTTTGATCCACAAATTTGTAATTAAAAAATTAACGACCCGGCTTCTCAGCAAAGGCGTCACATCATTCAAAGGAATTTTTAACTGAAATTCGTAAATTACAACTATTATAGTGAACGGACATTAAAATACAAGGATTTACCTTGGTGTTAGTGTTGTTGGCATTTTATAATTTAGTCGAAATACTCTCTCTAATATGGTAATATGGCATACCTGCTTATTTTTCTTTTTTTTTTCCTTTTTTAATTTTTTTAATAAATCTTTATTCACTAGTTGCTGTTCTTCATCACACCTTAGAGAATCTTTTAGTTTCTCTTTATGACTCTTTTCATTTTTATTTAAAAAATTTTCGTGGTGATCTGTACGTTCTTTACATTTTGCCTTCTTATCCTTCTTCTTTTTGATTTTGTCGTCTTTCAACTTTTTTAGCTTTTTGTGATCTTTCTTCTTTCGCTGAAGTTCATTATTTACAGACAAAAACTCATTGCCTGTTATATTTGTTGATAATAATGAGTTTTCAAATGCATTAGTTGAATAAATATCTTTTTTGGATAATGAAAATGGAGCTGCTACAGTTGCTGTTAAGCTGGTGGACGGTATAGTTTTTGCAGAATACGCCGAACCAGTTGAAATTAATGGTATCAAATCCGCACCTCCTGCTAATTTACCGACCCCACGTTTTTCTGAGCTAAACAGATCTATTTGGGACACATTTTCTGTTGGAGTTGGGAGAAAGTTTTTAGTAGTTTTGAGAAATTTATTAGCCTTTGGGAACATTTTTGGATCTTTTGCGCTCAAATAAAGATCACCTGATGAATTTTTTGTCATATCCTTTCGAATAGGTACATAATCCTCGATTTGAGAAAAATTTAGAGACGTCGTTGTTAAATGAAGTTGATTTTGTTGCAAGTCCTTGGAATTGGTCGAACTTAAAGAATTCAACATGGTTGTTGAGTACTCAATGGAATCGTCGGATAATTCTATAGGGTCATCGGTATTAAGAATAGACGTAGCTGCAGAAGATTTCGCTAGAACTGTACTAGGCGATGCATGTTTAGAATACATACCACCAACGAATACTGGATTATCCGCGTTTGACTTTGGAGATTTTGTAGCACGTTCGTTTTGTAAATGCAACTCGTATGTATTCAACGACATACCACCTGGCGTGCTTGGAATCGACTTGCAACCCGTTTCAGGGGTACTCCAAATCTCAGGAGTCTTTAGTATCTTTTCACTGACCGTAGTCGAGTGCTGAACCTTAGGAGTTTTTGGACATTCTCGCTCTGCTTTCGTCATTTCAGATATAACATCAGGTGGAGTAAGTTTCATTGATTCGGGAACGAAAGGTGGCACGTTGCAATAGTTACGTTCTCCACTTGCTTGGAACAGAGTAGGTTCCAACGATGTGCCACTGATTGACGACTCTAATATAAAACACAAATTTTAATATAATTTAAATATTAAAGAGTTTATAATTGATTATTTCTTCACAATTACATACAACCAATGTATGAATGCCGAAAATTTATATCATAAATTGAAACAGAAATTACGAAATTTTAATATATGTTATTAGGGTTACTAACATTGAGGCTACAACAACGTAAGCATAAAAAATGCTTTAATTCAGTGATCACTGTTCACCCTGTTCGGTTTTACTCAATTTTATATATTATATATTATACTCACCAAAACTCTTGGAGGTATGTTAGTACTCTCTAGTAGGAGTGCGCAGGGTGTATTGTCAAAGATATTTGATACACGGTTAAACAAAGCACTAAAATGGGATATTTCCTGTTTCGCAATAGTTGCATATCAGTTTTATTACGTTTATTTTATACTCATTGTGATTCTGCATAACCAAACCTTAGCCATCAGGTGAATTAAGGCTCAAGCATACTTGTTATTTAATACATTCTATGATTTTTTTGACATGCAGTGGCAGCAAGCCATTTACAGCCTTAGAATTAAGGAATCGATTGACCTATAAAAGAAGTGATATCTGCCGACTTCTGAATTCATAAGATTACTTGGTCAAATTTACATAAATCATCTCAAACTTTGCGTCAATTAACTATTCAGTATACAGATGTATTTAAAAATGCAATTTTTAGTAAATTAAAATGGTATAGAAACGTTTTGGAAATTCGACTTGAGCCAGTATTTGCAAAAAAATAGAAAATAATAAAGAAAAGCAAATAAAAAACAAGAAAAAACGTTAACTTCGGTTGCGCCGAAGCTATAATACCCTTCACAAATACAAAGGCCCCTTACCAAAACTTGATTCCGTACGTTCAATTTGTATAGCAGCTATATGATATAGTGATCTGATCTGACCAATTTCTGTAGAGAATAATTTGTTGCCTTAAGCAATAACTCGTGCCTAATTTCGTGAAGATACCTCGTCAAATAAAAAAATTTTCCAGGCAAGCACTTTACTCCGATCGTTCAGTTAATATGGCAGCTATATACTATAGTCATCCGATCTATACAATTTCTTCGGAGATTATATTAATGCCTTAAATAATAATACATGTCAAATTTCGTGAATATACCTAGTCAAATGAAAGAGTTTTCCATACAAGCACTTCATTCCGATTGTTCAGTTTGTATGGCAGCTATATGCTATAGTCATCCGATCTGAATAATTTCTTCGAAGATTACATTGTTGCCTCAAATAATAATCCATGCCATACAAATTTCGTGAAGATACCTCGTCAAATGAAAGAGTTTCCCATACAAGCACTTGATTCCGATTGTTTAGTTTGTATGGCAGCTATATGCTATAGTCATCCGATCTATGCAATTTCTTCGAGGATTGGATTAATGCCTTAAATAATAATACCCGCCGAATTTCATTAAGATACCTCGTCAAATGAAAGAGTTTTTCATGCAAGCACTTTACTTCGATCGTTCAGTTAATATGGCAACTGTATGTTATAGTCATCCGATCTGTAAAATTTCTTCGGAGCTTGCACTATTGCTTTAAATAACATTCTGTGCCAAACTTCATTAAGATACCTCGTCAAATGAAAGAGTTTTCCATACAAACACTTGATTCCGATTGTTCAGTTTATATGGCAGCTATATGCTATAGTGGTCCGATATAGGCCGTTCCGACAAATGAGCAGCTTCTTTGTTAGAAAAGGTGCAAAATTTCAGATCGATAGCATAGAAACTGAGGGACTAGTTTGTATATATACAGACAGACGAACAGACGGACATGGCTAAATCAACTCAGCTCATCATGCTGATCATTTATGTATATATTTTATAGGGTCTCCAACGTTTCCTTCTGGGTGTTACAAACTTCGTGGCAAACTTAATATACCCTGTTCAGGGTATAAAAAAAGAATAAAAATAAACATTAACAAGTAATGAAGAGCTAAGTTCGGGTAGTAAACGAACATTTAATACTCTTGCAACTTGCCAGGATCAAAGCCAGGGAAATACCTTCAGGTGCATGCGGTTTGTTAGAACAAAGAAAATCAATATATGTAGTATATGATAGGGTAATTTGTGAACCACCTTAACATATTTTCGGCATTAAGCTATATTCTATCCAATATTATACTTCTAGTAAATTTTTCCAAGATATCTTACTTATTTGCTGAAATATGCGATATAAAGTCAGCCAGTAGTTCGAAAATCATTATATTAGGCATATGGTGGCTAAATGAATTATTGACCCGATACAACGCATTTTTAACATACAGGCATATTATTATCAAAAAATTATTATCTTCGCATTTCTATAACATATCTCACACATTGACGGATACTTTCGATAAAATGTTTGCTGTAGGAGCTGGGGTCCACATATTCAATACATGGGGGGTGGAATAGTTTTATTCCGATGTAGACAATCTTTGGTGATAAGGTCGCCCAATTAAATGACACTATTCATGCAAAGTTTTATGCCGTTACATTCATTGGTGCTTGATTTGCATACTGGAAAGTGAAAGAATCAGATGCAGTTTAAAATTGTGTTATATGGGAAGTAGGCGTTATTGTAGTCCTATTTCGACCATTTTCGCACTATAACATAGAAATATGAAAAGGTCCCGTATCGAATTTGATTGGAATCGGCTAAGCAGATCCCAAGATATATTTCCATCTAGAAGTGGGCGGTGCCACGTCTACTGTCTAATTTTTAACGCGGTTCCTATAAAGTCATCACATAACAACCCAGGGATAAATTTAATGTCTCTGGCGTATTTAGTGCTTGATTTATCGCGCTTTTAATATTTTTTAACAGTACCGTTATATGTGGAGTTGTTCTCAGTGAATTTCGTTATTATAGCTTTAGCGGTTTAGCAGATATGCACATTAAACCTATTAGGGGGCGGAATCACGCACAGTTTTTAAAACATTTTAAACTGCAGATGCCCCTCCCTAATGTGATCCAGTACACCAAATAACAGTCTTATTGTGGAGCTTAGTTATGGCAATTTATTTGTTTTTGATTAATAGCGTTTTGTGGGCGTGACAGTGGTCCGATTACGCCCACCTGCAATAACAACCGTATTACGGTACCAAGTTTTATAAACATATCTCAATTTTTAACTCGATTATTTTTAGGTGATACAAACAACCGTTAGGTGAACAAAACTATTATACTCTGTTGCAAGAGTAAAAAAAAAAACAATAAAAAAAAACAAAAAAAAATTTAAAAAAAAGCAATAAAATTTAAAAAAAAGCAATAAAATTTAAAAAAGCAATAAAAAAAATATAAATAAAACACCGAAGCTATAATTCCATCCATAAATACAATAGTCAGTTAGCTATATACTATATCGGTCCGATTTAAACAATTTCTTCGAAAATTATATCTTGTCCTCGAACAATGCTATATGCCAAATTTCGGGAAGATGTCTTGTCAAATAAAAAAAGTTTTCTTACAAGGACATGGTTTTGATCGTTCAGTTTATATGGCAGCTATATGCTATAGTGGTCTGATATCGGCGGTTCCGACAAATAAGCACTAGTTTGCGTATATACAGACAGACCGGCATTGTTGAATCGACTCATCACGCTGATCATTTATAGATATGATTTATAGGGTCTCCGACTTTTCTTTCTGGGTGTTACAAATTTTGTGACAAACTTAATATATCCCGTTCAGGTTATAATTAAATATATCCTGTAATATTCAACGAATGCCAAGAAGACATTTATAACATGAGTGAATTTCAGAAATATTCGACGATTGGTTTAACGGTACACCTTATAGTTCCTAGTTCCCAAAGGTATGATAACCTTGTTTTATGAACAAAGCACAAAATGTGCTCGGTTTTCTGGATCTTTAAATGAAATAAAGATCACCTGTTGAGTTTTTCGCCGTTTCATTGCAAATTGCTAAAATATCCTCCTTTTGAAAGAAATTCAATAGAGTCGCTGTTAAATCAAGCTGACTTTGATCCAATTCGCTCTGGTTGGGCGAATTTGAGTTATTGAGTAGCGATGATGGGAGTTCATTGCATTCATCAAAAAGTTCTAATATTTCATCCAAATTTAGTGTGGGTGAAGCTATAGAAGATGTTGCTAAATATTGCATTACATATTTAGACGTTGCATTTTATGCATTTTAAAAATACATACCGTCCCCGAACATAAGAGTTTCTGTAATTGGCTTAAGAGAATTGGTAGCATTTTCATTTGGTGTTGGGAATTCGTATGTGTTCAACGACATACAACCTGGCGATGTTGGTATTGAAATATTTTCGAGTGGAGCCCAGAGTTCAGGTGTTTCTAAAAGTTTTTCACAAAACGTAGACAAGTTATGAAATTCGAGATTTGAACATTCTGTTTCTGGGTTCCTCATCTCTGGTTTTGACAAAGTTGATGTGTGTGTCATTGACTCGGGGACGAATTGCGGTACATCGCAAAAAATGAAATCATCATTCAGTAGGGGTAAGAGAGGGTCTAACGACGAATGATTGATTGTTGACTCTAAATAAAACGCAAATTTAAATTTTAATTAACAAATGTGCATATATACATATAACAGTAAATGTAGTAAAACCGGTGTTCGAAACTAAAAAACTATGTTTATTGTGAAACATTGTTACTGTTTTTGCGTATTTTGTGTTGTAATAAACTACATTATATATGTATGTATGTATACTACCAGTTCCTTTCACCAGTTTTTTTTGGTTACGGTAGATGTAAAATTACATTGTAGTAATACACTGAAATTATTATTTACTAGCTGACCCGGCGAACTTCGTACAGATATATCGTAGCTTTGATGCACTACTTTATTTTGTATGGCTGACAGTTGTCCTATCTTAGGTATGAGTACCTATTCAATTTAAACTGCAATCTATAATATCCTCTTTATAAAATTGAGTCACTATTTCCCTAGTCTCGCCAAAACTGAGAAGAACTTTACTAATTTCATAATTTTATTAAATAAAAAAAAATATATTTTTTCATAATAGTGTTTATTCCATAGGGTTTCATAATTTCACTTACATTTTTACAAATCGCTACTCGATTAACTTGGCATTTTGAAGTAAACACTGAGCTCAACACCACGCGCACTCTAGAAAGCAAATTTAAGTAACCACATTTCCGAACAAACGATGCTCTTGCAATATAGTCTATGGCTGTGAATGACGATGACATTCGTCGTTTGTTCCGTAAGAACCTTCTACAGAGTATTAGAAAACTACAAAAAAAAAAAAAAAAAAAAAAGAGGCAAATCGGTCTAGCCGTTCTCAAGTTATGGCGTGACAACGGGAAACGGGTTTCATTTATATATATAAAAATGACCACATCCAGTAAGCTTTCCACTGTTGTTCTTATAACGAATATCTTAGTACGGTAGATTTTAAGGGGCATGCAACAACAGAGTTTGAGTATTTCGGAGACTATTTCCGTGGGGGACATAAGTTTTCTATCGGGGTCGATTATGGATATTTAGCAGGTCGTTCTAGTTTCACGAGACAACTCGAGCTTTTGTTCTGCAATGAATGGTGATTACGCTCCATTCAATGGTAGGGAGTCAATGAGACGGTCAATCGTTCCGCTATGAATGGTGTTCAGTGCTTGTCTGAAGTTTACTGCGTCCTTAGACTAGTCGGTAAAATATTTTATGTTCGGGACATATTCCAGGAGTGTGCTCCAGATGCTCTAAGCAAGTGACTACAAAGATGGTTTTTGCGAAAACTCTCAATTGCTCAGTGAAGTTCCTTGATTGGAAACATACAGGCTTTGTTGTGAAAGTGTTCGTTGAGAGACATCAAAATGTCTGGAAAGTAATGTTCTGACCAGGGTTGGGAATTTTTTAATTAAAAGTTAAATTTTTTAATCCCTATGTTGATTTGTTTATTAAAAATTATATCTTCATTTTTTAATCCCAATGTTGGTCTAATTTTTAATTCAAAATTCTACAAAGAAAAAATATAATTCTTATTCAATATTAAAGCGCATATAAAATGGTTGATTTTTGCATCATACATACATGCGTTTACTTTCCGAGCACTTCTTGCTCGCTGAGTAGTCAGAAAGCAACTGGCACTATCGTCGTTTCTACGGTATAATAACTGTCGCAAGTCAACACACGTATACTCATAGCTAGTTCAGAGAGTACTCGCGGGCTATGCCGACCACTTCTTTAGAGCATTAAAGATGATGGCACTTTGAGAGCTCTAGTTTAAAATAGTAGAACATGAAGTACGCAAACGCGAGCAAATGTAATTGTAAATTAATTTCTTTTATTAATTCCTCATTATATGCTTGGAATTAATTTTTTTTTAATTTTATTTAAACTAGTGCTATTTTATTTGAAATAATTTAAATAGTTATGTTAATATTTATTAACTTGTATTTTGTATTTGTATAGCGTTGACGTTGTTTGGCGTTTTTTGGTGAAATAAATCAATAAATAAGAAATAGAAAGCACTTATTTTCTTTAAAGGTATTTTACAACGTATACAGCTTGTAGAACAGTCTGCTAATTTTGGCACATTAACCTACTATAATAAGGGTTGATGTTTTCCATTATATACAGTCCGCGGTATCTAGACGATCTTCTTGCGTAATTTGGTATTCTATGGTCAAATAGAAGCTAAACTCGCGCAATGATAGATACGTAATAGGCGGTGAATATTAAAATTTTTTTTTAGTTCTCTGTGTATAAGCACTAATTTTGCAATATTATATCTTGAAAAGTTTTCTGTGAAAAAAAAAAACAATTTCCAAAAACCATCTTTTTTGACCATAATACTAGGTATTCCTGTTAAAAACAAGATCAATTTCGGTAAAATGATTCAGTTCGAAACCTTCGTAAAAAATATACATATTCTCTTTAAAGATATTCAATGTATTCAACTCCGAAATTTGCAAAACAGTATACGCAACTGCTCAAGTTCAGTTTCCTGATTTTAATTTTTCATTTCTACATACTATAAAAGGGGTTGATAGTATTTCTAACGTACATGAGATGGCGACTGCCAGTACAATGCCCACATCAGCCGGTTATACGTTATTACCGGAATTGACCCGGATTTTATCACACCAAGGGCTTTTATTTCGGCGATCTAGTCCCGTTTGGATCGGTGAGTTTTAGGTTGAGATTGTCTTCACTGACCCGAGCTGGCATTGTGTCTAACCCGGACCCTGAAAAATTATTTTGCTGCGTTTGCGCAAAGAAACGCGAGCGAGATAATGGGGTAGGCCTAGCCTTCATACTGCACAACACCGTGCAATATCGACTAATCGATGGTGTCACGATGGCACGGACACTACCTTTGAATGTCAGACGAACATAGGTTCTAGGCGACTTTAATGCGCACCACGACCTTTGGCACTCCTGCCAGTCAAACGATCGACATTTTACACAATGAATGACAAAGCCCCACCAGAATTATGGGCACCTGCAATAGCTCGCTAGGTATTACCATCGCTAGCGGTGGTCTGATAAATAGCATAACCCGGCGACCTATGCTAACTCTCGCATCAGATCATCTGCCCATAATTATCTCGATCGAGAAATCTCCCGACTTTATTTCTATGAACAACCGCACCTTTGTTAACTTTAACAAAGCAAACTGGGTCGGCTTCACAGAATTTACCGAGAGCACCTTCACCGCACTACCCATTCCTACGGACGTCATCGTTGGCGAGCGTCAATTCCACAAGGTAATCGCTGCTGCTACTACTCGCTTCATACCAGCAGGAAGAATCGCAATTTCCCAGCCAAATTAGCAAACGAGCGCGACACCTTACGCCATTACGATCCCTGTTACCCCGAATAAGGGATCTCAATTTGGAAACTCGGCAAATGGTAAATCAGCAAAAGCGGACTAAATGGATAGAGCACCTGAAGTCCTGCAATCTCCCCACCGTTGTGAGTAAGCTTTGGACTACTGAAAAGGAACTGTCTAATCTAAGAAGACACGACGACCGAGTTGAAATTCAATTCGATGGCCATAAGCATGCTGATGCTAAAACATCTAGGCTCGACGGAAGTAAGCTTCCTCACCAAGGTCATCAACCTGTCGCTGACTACTCTTCAAATACCAGATGTGTGGAAAGTCGGAACTGAAACCTGGGAAACTCTCCTTTCCCCAGTAGTGAAGACACTTGAGGTCTTGCTTCTTCCGACATTCACTCACCACCTGAGTCTAGCAGACCATCAGTATGGCTTCCGAAAAGTGCATAGCACCACTCAACACTTAGCGTCATAAACGCCCAGATAGTTCATGGCCTAAACCAGAAGCCACCCTGTGAGAGGACGATCCTCGTAGCGTTGGACTTGTCACAAGCTTTGGACACAGTCAATAACACAACGCTACTTCAGGACATCGAACAATCCACGCTCACTCCAGGGCTGAAGAGGTGGACTATGAACTACCTGAGCGGTCGAAATTCATCCGTACTGTTTGGAAGTCAAAACTCCAAACTAAGAAGAATTGAACAGCGGGTTGCGCAGAGTGGCGTCCTCTCCATGGTACCGTTTAAGTTCTATATCTCAATGGAATCGATGGCATGTGCTCATAAGTAAACCGCTACCTCTCCGACCTTTCTCGCTTCTTCTCTGCAAGGAGCCCAACACTCTACCCAACTAAATCCACAGCGATGATATTCAGAAACTGGACGAAGGAATACAGACTGGATCTGAACATTACAGTCGATGGTGTTAAAATTCCGACGGTGAATAACCCTAAACTTTTAGGTGTTCCATTTGACAGCCTGTGCTCCGTCACTGCTCACACGACTGCGATAAAAGGCAAAGTACGGCGCCGCAACAAAATCCCCAAGTGGGTCATGGGGAAAAGACAAAGAAACGTTGTTGGCAAAATACAAGGCAATCGGCCGGCCGGTCCTAAACTATGCTTCTCCAATATTTTCGCCTGAATGTAGTGCAACGCAGACGAAGAAGCTTTAGACTTTTCAAATCACTGCACTCCTCACTATCACGGGATGCCTCTTGATGTTCCCAAAGGAACACCTGCACTGTGAGGTCCGTATGCTTCCGGTTAAGGAACATAACGAGCTCCTCTCCAAGCAGTTTCTGCTGGGGTGTTTTCGCAGAAATCACTCCTGCAGTCGTCTGTTTGAAGCGGAACCGACTCCTATGAACATCAAGAGGACCTTCCTTGATTACGTAGACGACATCAGACAGTACGCCGACGGGACTTCGGACGGAAAGAACTATAGACAAGCACCAACCACCATTCACAGTGGAGCTATTAACACCTTCACCGACTCCCTCTCAGTGAATGGCGTACTTGGAGTCAATTCACCTCCCATCGCAGACGAAGAGCTCGAGTTGCTACGGGCATCTAGAGTGACCCTTGCGCAACTTTGTTCTGGGTACTATAGCAGGTTAAAGTCCTACTTATCCAGAATCGATCCCGACATACCAAATATACATATGTCGATCATGCAACGAGCCTCCGCATGACACTAACCACCTTCCACACTTCACCCTATGATCCGACCCCGGCGAAACAGCAAGTTTCCTGGGCCTACCGTTAGATGACTTTGAAGACAATCAGCACGAACGTTACCACCCAAGCGAAAATTAGATAACAACAACTGCCAGTTCAATTGCCTGCGGTCGATAATGTAAATTTTGAAAAACTGTCGTCGCACAATCAAGACCTTTAATACGAAAATTATACTGAATTTCTTTGTACCCTATTGACTGTTCTTAAAGAACGCGTTGTTTTTGTGCACGATTGGCCCTCATCATTTTGTGAGGACTCGCGACCTTCTTTAATTAGCGAAAATACAGAGTAATAGCCGACACGCACCACAAAAAAAAAAACAATAAATATTATTTGTTAACAGAGCACTCTCAATGTGTTAAAGTGTTGTGTAAGCGCACATTTTAGTTAAAGTATCCTCCCGTTGTTGGACTCTAATCGCACTTACCTGTAATTATCGGCTTAGTGGTGCTTTGCTGTCGCAAATTTGGAATAGGTAAATGAAATGTTGGCGGTAAACGCGGATATAACATATTCTGAGCACTATGCGGTATGAGACCAGGTCCAGATGGGAACGGACAAAGTTTTAATAGATCAGGGATCCCGCCCATTACTGGTTTATACATAAACGACTGATGGGAACCAGGCATTACACTTGGAATTGTATGTAATTGAAGCGGAATCTGTGGAGATTGCCTCTTTCTAGTAGGAGACTTATAACACAATGGCTTATGAGATAAAGTTTGCGTAATATCCGCATTCGGATCAACCATGGCATCATTAAACGCTCCCAATGGTTGTAAAATTGTATCCATACGCATTAGTTTTTTGTTAATAGTATTGACTTCTTCTTTAGTTGGAACTGCTGTTTCAGCGTTATATTCTTTTTGCACGGTCGTGGACATATTCAAATTTTTAGATTTGGTTTTCTTCCGTTCTTTTCGAACGTCTTTTATATTCGCTGATAGACTGGAGGTAATGGCATCAACACCATGACCTAAAGTTGGTGTTAACTTATCGAGGGGATTAGTTAGTTCCAGTAAATTTCTTGTTTCTAAATGAAGGGGATATTGTGAATCGTATTTAGAATTTTTAAACTTCTTCAATTTCTTCGAATGTGAAACATCATTTGAGTCGATAGGACTAACAATTATTTGTTTTGGTAAGTTTTTGCTTCCTGGCTTACGACCACGTTTTTTAGGTTTAATATCTTCACTAATTTGTAACGGTGGCTGGCTTATTTGGTTTGGGATAATAACGCCTGTTATGTTATTGGCAGAAATATTCTCGGCCATGCCACCTAGCTCGCAATTAACCGACACCTTTGATTTTTTTTCTATTAGAGCGGAATTGTGCAAAATTGTGTCGCTTGCTATCATACATTTTAGACTGGTAGGTGTGGGTGTAATTGTAGTCCCGCAAGGAAGGTTGATAAATTGACCGTCATTTCCACCAGACATTTGTGTCGAAGGCAAACGATTGTTTGGTGATGCTGGTTTTTGTGACTTCTGTTTCGAAATTTTTTTAAAAATATTTAATTTATTTTTATCAAGCTCGGTCGATAATTTAACACCCGACAAGGTTTTTTTTTCCAGAAAAGTAGCATTTGGAGACAGCTTCACGTTGTCGACCGTACTTCCACTGTTATTTGCACTAATACTATTATCGGTAGTGCTACTTTGAGAGAACGTGTAAGAAATATCGGTTAAGCCGGATTTCGGAAGACATGTTTTTTCCTTTGGTACTTCAGGAAGTACACTCTCCTTAACAACTGAACTAGCGCGTAAGGTTTTCGTACTCGATGATAGTGGTACGGGTATTTTATCTCCAATAATCTTTGGTAACTCCAAATTTTTCTTCAATACTTCGCTCTGTTTTTGCTTATGCAGCAATTTTTTTTGATGTTTTGATTGTTTTTTGAGATACTTTTCAATTTTATGACGTTGAAGAACAGAATTACTATAATCCGATGAGACTGAGCATGATTCGAATCCTGGGTTTAATAGATTCTGCAACATCCTTTTGTTTTTTTTATGAAGTTTTTCCGAACATTCCACTCGAGGTGATATCAAAGTGTCGGAATTTTTTGCATCTGGTAGATATGATTTAGCTATCAATGCATTTTGCAGATCAAGAGGACTTTTTTTTTTTGCTTTATTGAGCAACTTCGTAGCAATTGTTGGCATCTGCATATGCTTTGTTATAGGACTCCATCCAGCCTTCTTTATAACGCCTATATTAGTTATATCAGATCCATTTTCGTTCGGAATCAAATCTTTCGAAGATGGTACCACGAGCTGGCTTGCTACGTCCCCTGCAAGTTCTGATTTTTCTAAATTTAGCACCGGTTTTGGTTGCAACGAATAGGTGTGAACAGCTTCGTTAACACCTGCAGTTAACGTTGTACTGTTACTGGGGTGTTTGTATTCTGCAGTTTTAAACTTTTCAGAACTCACACCTGCAGCGGGCGAAGTGGGTGGTGGTGCATCCAAGCCCATCAGTTTTTCTACAAGCAAGAAAAAAATATAATGCATACTTTGAAAATTACTTAACAAACCTTACCGACAAATTTTGGTACTTTGGTATCCGGAAGTTTTCCTTCAATAGCGGGGGAAATAAAGCCGCCTGTTGTCATTACAACGCTACTGATTTCTCTGGTAGGACGTCCTTCTTCATCAAACATATGAGATGAACTCAACGTGACTTTAGGACCCTCTTGAGAAGGATCAAGAGAATCTTTTGACACACCTAGTCTATTCGCATTATTCATACAAGTTAATGTATTGGTATATGTAGGTAAATATCGTTCCGTTTTAGTTTCGCACTGACAAATAATTCTTTTATTACAAGTTCGTTGTTTTTATGTATTTTAGTACTTACATCATTACTCATATTAATCGAACTCGATTTAAGGAACTGTGAATCAGAGTGCAAGTAATGTGAAGGCAATATACTTTTCGAATCTGCTGGTAACATAGGTGGTAGATATTCATATATATGAACAGGACGAATAAGAACTTCCTTACTTCCAGGCTTCAAAAAATTCAAGTTTGTATTCTTATGTGCTGGAAATTTTGGTAACTCCACAGCCAAGGGCACTGGCTCCACGTTGTTGGTATAATCAAGCAGTTCGCTTATGTTAATATTTAAATTACTTAGGGTAATATAAATATCATCCAAACTTGCCTCCGTTCTATTATCTGTTAAAAGAAATAGACATAACTATTTTCTTGTTTACAAAACATGTTAGGTGAATTTATAACTTAGGTCCCTCAAAGTGGGAGGCCGGAAAAAATAAATTTTTTTGTTAAATCGTCTTATTTTAACGCAAAGATAGGAGTTCCGTGAGCTTCTTTTTAAATTTTATTTGTTTTGATTTTTCGCAAAATAACTCAAAAAATAAACACACTTTGCACAGTTCTTTCCCGTCAGTTCATAACCGGCGTGTTCATGGTTCTTTCGCGTCGAACATTACTACACGCAAAAGACCTACGGAAACCCTGGTGTTGGACCGACAAAGGTTATTTGTTTGAAACGTGAAAATAAGTTAATTGAAAATTGTGTAGTGTGTTAAAAATATATTTATATGTATATATAAACCTTTGTGGTTGGTTTTACCACATTTTGCCCTCTTAGTAATAGGTTCACTTAGGATGGATAAGAATGTACATGTACTTATGTTATATATATGAAGTTCAACGCAAGAAGGAGCTCTGCGCAAAAAAACCTTTATACATCCCGGTGTTGGATCGACCAGAGTTATTTTTTAGAAGCGCGACCGAAGGCCTCCTACGCAAGGAGTTCTGCGCAAAAAACCTTGATACATCCCGGTGTTGGACCGACCAGGGTTATTTTTTATTTTTAAAGCGCGGCCGAAGGCCGCCAACGCAAAAAGAAATTCTGTGCGAAAAATATTTTGAGACACCCCGGTGTTGGACCGATCAGGGTTATTTTTTTTTTAAGCACGGCCGAAGGCCGCCAACGCAAAAAGGAGTTCTTCGCAAAAACACCTTGATACACCCTGGTGTCGGACCGACCAGGGTTATGTTTTTGAAGAAGTTCTACAAGAAAAAGTAATATTGTCATAGAGGGTATAACATAATACTTAACATCAATGCTTTGTAATAGTTTATTTCTCTAGTTTTTGGATTCCTGTATTTGGGGTATTATCTGTTTTCAATTCTTTCAGTTCAATTACAAAAGATGTCGATAAGGTAACACTGGTTATTTGACCCTTTGCAACCCTTTTGTTATTGTCAGAATTAATAGATATTAAAAATAATTTAAATATTGAATTAAACTATTTTTGCACTATACAATGTTAAATAAATGTGTAGAAACCGATTTGTGAAGTGTTAGTGGATATAAAAGTGGAAAATATTCATTTGAAATCGAAAAAATGCGTACTTTAAATAGTCGAAATTTTGAACTTTAAACCCAAATATCTCGAAAACTATAGGTTTCCCGCGGCTATATCTATAAATATTCTTGATGTGGAGGATTTCCTCTATCCGCCCATGCCCAGTTTATCGCCGAAAGCCTGGGACGTTATACTAAAGTTTTCCCTAAAAAAAAATTTGTAACTTTTTATTTTGTGTACAATGTATTATATGCAAAGTTTTAATTATACTGAGTTTTATGTTTACATTGACTTTGTGTGTGTCTATTTCAAGACCAAAGAAAAATACTTACAGTGTTCAACTTGTCTTCGCAAGTCCCGAGAGAATTCATGAAGGAATTTTTGTAGAATATCCTGAAGCAACTCAAAAGAGGTTGTTTGTACAACATGGTAACCAATAGTCTGACAAACTTGAGCGACAGCTGTTCGCAAGATCTCTCGCATAAAATGGTCTGTCATTATATGTTGGACAATATAAGTTGCATGAAAGTACTACGTTGTTTATTTGCTCATGAAGTATAATTTCCGAATGTGTAGATGAACTTGAAATATATTTCACGTTCCTGATTGATAATATTACTTATAACACCGACAATTCACGATTTAACCAATAATTTACAACAATTTATTAAAGCTGAATACACTATATTACAATAAATTTTCTTCGAGCCTTGTACTAGTTTATCGATAAGCCGATTTCTCGATTTTCGGCGTTGTTCATTCCTGTTTAAGCTTACTGGGAAGCCACACGTGCCAGAAAGCTTTTGCTTATAAAAAATATGTATTATTATTGTGACATTTACATGTAGCTTGTGTCAAAAATTTAACATCTCAAAATTTTACATGGGCTTAGTTTTGAAATAGCGTCCCCCTATTTCGGGGATAAAATAGTATGCACGGATAGAAGAAGTGCTCTAGATCATATAGATTGGAGGAGATTTTTAGCTTTCGAGCTATTCGCGTACAAGGTCCAAATTAAAGTATGAAATTCATATATGTTGTATAAATTTTACACTTTTATTCAATATCATATCAACTAACACGCCAATAAATAGCTTTTACACATGTATTTAATTATTTTAATATTAAATTAAATTTTACTCGTTTATACAATAACAAAATGGTTGCATGTAAACAAGTTAAAAGTGGTACCATGCACATATTTCACAAACGAAGTGTTTAAATGAGAAAAGCCTCCCCTACACATACACGCCACTCTACTCGGCAAGAACTGGCGCACCCTAGTTTAACCCACTACAATACACCACACTCATACATCACCACACGGGACAACTCAACACACCACAGCATCGCGCCCTTCAGCAAACAAATAGGATGGTCTCCGCAGCAGATACATCTCATTCGAATACACACGTCAGTCAACACGGTTTCTGCTTGCTGTCTTTATTCGTTTTTCCGCCAACCACAATCCTGCGCGCTACATCTAATTCCTTTCGTCAACGCGCCTGAGCACCACATCGATCTCAGTTTGGCTCATCTTTGCGCCTAATCGGATTCAACGGTTTCAGCTTTCAACGTTCCCTGTTTTCGATCCGTATTTCTACGCGTACAGCGTTTGCAAATGCATTATAAATATTTTGTAATTAATTTAATCCTAAGCGTTAATAAATAAAAATTTATTAAGCTTATGTATACAAATTAAATGGGCGTTTTTGTTTACAATACTTAGTGAGAGTGTCTAAGTATTCACGAAGAAAAAGAGAAAAAAGAGAGGCAAATACTCGGCAACACTGAATTTTTGTCTGCACATCAACAGAATATCAGCAAATATGCAAACAGTTGCTGTACTGCTGTAATTATTTTGTAGCTCGAACGCACCAAGTATTTCAGTTCTCTTGATAAATCCCGATGTTGCCATGTAGTCGAAGGCAGCATTGGCGGTTGTTCGACGCGAAAGAACCATGAACCCCCGGTGTTGGACCGCCGAGCGTTATTTCTCTAAGCGCGGCCGTAAGCTGTAGGCCGCCAATGCAGAAAGTAGTTTGTCGCGAAAAAACTATGAACACCCTGGTGTTGGATCAACTAGGGTTATTTCTTTGAAGCGAAGCCGAAGGCCTTAGGTCGCATATGCAGATAGTAGTTCGACGCGAAAGAACTAATTTTTCTTTAATAGGTGTTTTTACTGTTACTTTCGAAACAAAATACTGTTTTCTTTTTCCATAATTGAATTTAATTCCATAATTGAAGATTCCAAGTGAACTATTATATTTGACTGCGTTGATAGTTTCACTCACTTCATCTAATGCCATATCTAAAATTCTTGTGTCACTGCGTATGTTGCTAATTTCCTCCGAAATGGCTGGACCGATTTTTATGAGCTTTGGTGTGCTTATCGGGTAGGTCTGAGGATTGCCAACATCTATTTTTTATACCAATAAATGTTACTATTGGACCACGCACCTCGTTTTGGACACTTTTTTTTGTTTTTTATATTTTCACGATTCATCATTGAAAAATACATGCAATTCTACATTTTCACACCTATATGATAAACCCCTGATTTTTAATTGTGATTTTTATATGATTCTTTTTCATCCAGAGACAATCGAAAATAATAATTGCAGTATACCATAATTTTCATGTTTCGAAAAAAAGGAAGACCCAGTTTATTCAAATAAATAATTTGGGTTGTGTGTATACAATCCAGGGCCCTGGCCCGATCGTAAATGGTGTGAGATAACCACAAAAATTCGATGACTGATGATATATTGTATCGACATCGTACATGGTGCAACTATTTAACGATATCATTCAGTAACGCAATCTACAATGAAGCGTTGACTTCTTTTGAGGATCAATTCATTGTCATTGAGAATTTACTGATCAGTCATTTCAGTATGAGTTCACCAAATCGAAGTGCAACAGAAAAAATAAAATCTCTTCCTGGTTTGAGGATCCTAACCCTTGGTGGCAGAGAGTTAGAAGTGTCTAACATTAGACCTTTTGGTGGAATAGGCATGTAGAGTTAACACTGTCTAAAGTCACAAAGGCAATCATGGTGTGCAGAAGCTGGCAGATCTTGGGGCTGTAAGCTAAGTATCATCAGGTGGCTGTACACCATGACCACCTATCGTTACATATGGAGCGGTGGTCTGGGCATCAAAAGCATCGCAGACTTCGATAGGTCTTTAACTATCGAAGCGTCAAAGACTTAGCTACATTTGCACCTCCGGGGCAATCCGCACTTGTCCAACCACAGCACTTAAGGTCATGCTAGAACTCATACCGCTCCATCTAGTGATTAAATAGATTGCGAAGCATACCATGCTGCTCATGACAGCAGAGGGGTATGGAAAAGGGAACTTAATTTCATCTCAACCAATAAAGGCCTTAGAAGAAAATACACCACTGGCCCTTCTTCCTACAGACGGAATAGAGTGATTCCACTTCGATCTGCTATTGAGGGCCAGCAGTATTCAGTGACACACTGACGGAGGGCATTGTAGTAGGCCTTGCGGGACCGCATACCAAGCTATCCATACCCATGGGATGTCTTCCCAGTATCTTTCAAGCAAAAGTCTTTGTTATAAGTTAGTGTGCAGAAATTAATTAGGTTCAAAGATATGATCAACCTCCTCAAAGACAAATTCCGGCTCCTTGTCGCGCTCTATACTGGACACTGCAGGCTCAAGAAACACCTGTTCAGCATGGGCGTGTGACATGGAACAAGAAACACCAGAAAACGAATTTGTAGACGCAGGCTCAAAGTCCTTGGATCCATCTATATGGATAGGGATCACATTACCTCAATAGCGCCCATATCGTCACTACCTACATAGATAACCTGGTTTTAGTTGATCAAAATATATGTGTGTATCTTTCAAGGACGGGGATTGGTCCGTCGTATGGTGATGAAAATGATTGTTGGACTATGTCGTATGTGTTGAATTTGCAAGATCCTTTGAAATAAAGATTTTCTCTCGATTATGTCGAGAAGCCGGCATAGGCATTAAATTTTGTAATGCTTTCCGTAGCGTGTTAACGAGTTCTTGTGTAGTTTTATTTGATGGTGTAAAAATCTCACACGGGAGACTGGCTTACCAAAAACAAATTCTGCTAGTTTGGCTTGGACGTCCCCTTTAAAAGCAGCTCGTAGTCCTAAGAGAACTGCAAGGAGTGCGTCGTACCAACTGTCGTTGCGGCAAAGAAGGGATGATTTGAGCCGTCGGTGAAAGCGTTCGATGAATCCGTTTGATTGGGGGGTGATAATTCGTTGTTCGTTAATGGTTGAAACCGCGGAAATCAGTGAGTTTCTTGGAAAGGTCTAAATCGAATTGTTCTCCAAGGTCGGTTGTTATCCGAAGTAAAACTGCAAAGTAGGATATCCAAGTTTACATGAGTGCATGTGCTACTCGGCCGACTGTGCCATCAATCATCCCGTAAGTGGTGGGACTGCTGGATAGCGTATGAATCAGTCGATTATTGTGAGACATGTGGTGTGTCCTTTTGTGAAATGTTGCGATGGATGAAATCGTATTACGTGAAATCGTATTATGTGAAATTTTATTGCGTTAACATTGAATGCAGGCTTTGGTCCATGTGACGCAATCCTTGTTGATTGAAGGCCAAACGTATCTCTTTGTGATGCGGCGTCTTATAGCTCGACGACCTAGCTGTTCGACTGAATGAAGAGTCTCGAAGATTTGTAATCTTAGTTGTTGTGGAACGAACGGATGTAACTGTACCTGTTGATATGTCGCAGTATGTAGCATTGTTCATACTGTGTGTTTGAGTTACAGAGTAGTTGTTGAAGATCTGCATCGTTGGTTTGAGCACATGTAAGCTCTTCGGATGTAACTGCTGTGCGAATGACTTCGACTCGAGATATCTTCTGTTTGAATACGTGCATTAAGAGTTTCTGATCTGTGTAGATTGCGATGTGTTGTTGCTCAAAAATGTGTCCAAAATATTGAACTGCTTCGTAGATTGCGTTTAACTCTCGATCGTTGGTTGATCGTTTTTGAACGGATGGTGAAAGTTTGCGACCAAATAAAGAGAGTGGTTGCCAATGTTCGCCAATGCGATGGCTCATTTGGCGAGAGCTTTCAAGCAGTTCGAAATGCGTTTTCACGCGATGTGGTTTCTATTGATTTTAAGGCCTTCAAGGAGCTTGTTAAGTGGCGAGAGTATATTTGCTGCGTGTTTAATAAAATCTATTGTACCAATAAAGTTGCGTAACTTGGTGATTGTAATTGATAATAACTTTGACTCGTCCCGTAAGTGGTTTTATTCCATGGCCAGAGATGGTATGCCCAAAGAAATCGACTTTTTTGAGTCTGTGCTGAAGGCGCTGAATTACAATACGCAAATGTTGTTTGGGCTCTGTTTCATTGGCAGATAGGACCAGTAGATCATTGATGTATGCGAAAACGAAAGGTAGGTCTCTTGTATCTCATCAAGGAAGTGTTGAAAGGTCTGAGCTATGTTTCGGAGCCCGAAGGTCATAAATGGGAACTCGAAGATATCACACGGTGTGATTATAGCCGTTTGGTGAATGTCTACCTCAGCTATTGCAATTCTATTGAAAGCACGAATTAAGTCGATGGTTGAAGATCTACCGTTTAAGTTTGAGGGGAAATCTTCTAAGCATCGAACTGGGAACCGATCTGGTATGGTACGTTGTTTAAGGCGACGGTAATCGCCGTGATGAAGTTCTCAATATTTAATA